ACGTTGACAGGGTTCCAGTGGTCCGGCTGCAGTGACAACATTGCCTACGGAGTGGCCTTTTCTCAGTCCTTTGTGGACGTTAGGGAGAGGGGTAAAGGTCAGTCTTCCAGCCGAGCTCTCATGAACCTTCACAACAATGAGGCTGGCAGAAAGGTAACGCACACCTCCTATAGCATATAAAATGTACATAGAGATAACTTGATTTATTTATTAGCATCATACTATTTAACTGTGTAGCAGCTAAGCTTTTCTTTGTGTGTCCTGCAGGCCATTCTGTCCCACATGCGGGTGGAGTGCAAGTGTCATGGCGTGTCAGGCTCCTGTGAAGTAAAGACCTGTTGGAAGGCCATGCCACCCTTTAGAAAGGTGGGCAATGTCATCAAGGAGAAGTTTGATGGTGCCACAGAGGTGGAGCAACGCAAGATGGGCTCAACCAAAGTCCTGGTGCCTCGCAACTCTCAGTTTAAGCCTCACACAGATGAAGACCTTGTTTACCTGGACCCCAGTCCAGATTTTTGTGACTATGATCCGCGAACGCCGGGCCTGCTGGGCACGGTGGGCCGCCAGTGCAACAGAACCTCAAAGGCCATTGACGGCTGTGAGCTAATGTGCTGTGGCCGTGGCTTTCAGACACAAGAGGTGGAGGTGGTGGACAGGTGCAGCTGTAAGTTCCACTGGTGCTGCTATGTCAAATGCAAACAGTGCAGGAAAATGGTGGAAATGCACACCTGCCGGTGATGGATGTGGGTGGAGCACTGCTGATGGACAAAGCAATCACCCCATGTTCTATCTCAACATAAAAAACAGAGAAGGCGACAGGGACTTTTGAAGATGCTGCCTCTCCCACTTGAAGCCACCTGGCCCACCCACTACTGGTTGACAGACAGACTGTCTTTTAAAGGGTCGTCCTATACATTCTTAACCACCGTGAGTGGAAATAAATAGTAAATGCATGGGGTTTCTCACAAAGCCACAGATGCTTGTTTCACTTTCTGCCCTTCCCTAACCCCTCATTTTGGTTTGTCATTGATGGTCTATATTATTTTTGTAACTTTTAACTTATTTGTTGAGACTGGTGGGGGAGAAGGGAATCTGGAAGGAGCTAATGAACAAACTGGACCTTTGGGTGGGCAGACGGGTGGAGTGGGTTGGGATTAGGTGATTGGGATGGGGTGAAGTGGAATGTTATTTGCCCTCTGTCCTTGCTGCTGCTGCTGCTTCAGTGACTTACTTGGAGTGCTTGGATATGTGCGAAAGACAGGCGCCAAGTCTGTCAGATGCCAGACCTGGACAACACCAAGGAAACAAGTCACGGACAGACTTTGTCTCCTGAATGAACATGGCCGTGCTGCGCTGAGATTCAGTTGCTGTTAAGTCACTTATTTTGCCCTCTGCAAAGCCCTGATGCTGCTCCACACACACACACATACACACACACACATACACACCAATGCTACAAGTTCAGTCACATTTTTTATTTCAAACATTCACCTTTGACACTAACTTCAAGCTAAAACAATTTAAATAAGTCGTCAATCGAGTATAGGTAGGCATAGGTTTGTTATTCCATTTAGGGTAAAGGACGAGGGCTCTGTGCCAATCATGTTTGAGCTATGGTACATATTTAATATTAAAAATCCCCACAGTGCATTGCCAAACAAAAATGTCACAAAATGTGTATGTAATGAAACACAATGACCATCAAGTTCCTATTCACTCACATTTTTTTACTGTGTGAAGCTGAGGCCTGTTTAGTTGAACACAACCCTGATGTTTTTGCAGGAATTGAAAGACACACAAAGATCTTCTGTGTCTTTCTCTTATTTTAGTTTAACATTTTTCCCCTTCACTTTGAAACATTAATATTGTATCTTTCTTCTAAACTTTTCGCTGCATGAAACACATTTGCATAGCACTGCAGCACACTGAACTAACGAGCAGGTGTTCCAGAAACTCCAGGATTGAAATCAGATTCTTCCTATGACGCTGACGGTAATAGTGATTGTAATGTACAGGCAAAGGCCACTGTCAGAGAAGGGAATAAAACACAAATCAGACAGAGGCAGCTAAAACACAGCTCGCTAACAAGCATTTTCACACCTTATTAGTATATAAGATCTACTGTAATTAGTTGTACAGGTCTAAGCTGTGCTAGCAAACCTGAAAAAAAGTTTCAGCTTATTTTAGAAGTAACTTTATGTAAACAAAAGTCTTCAGAAACACAAGCCACTTTCTGCTCAAAGTGACAGAATCTGAGCATTAGCCAGGTGTGTTGCTAAGCGCCGGACTCATACAGATAAGTTGAAAACATAAAACACTTTTAAAGCCTCGTTTTGACAGATTTCACTTGGCATTAGCCCCAGATACCAGATGAAATTCTTGATTAAAAAAAGAGTTGAACTGGTTGTTAAAAATAAATATCTCTTTCCTATTAAAGACTTGGAACTGGCAGTGGAGACCACACGGTCTTCAGGAAAACGTTTACTGACACTATAACCTCAGGGAGAGTTGTCTCTTCCTTGTCATAGACCTCAAAAATCAAGCTACTTTCAAACTTATATAACGTATATTAAAAAACCATGCATTTTGTATAATTGATTTTGCAAATAATTAGATGTTTTCATCATCGAATTATTCCTGATTGGCTAAAAAACACTTTTTTGGCCTCGATTCAGGGGCTTAACTTTCCTTCTGAAAAAAAAGACAAAAAGATGCACTGAGTTAGGCTGGAGTGTTCATCAAATGCTCATCATATATTTGCAAATAGTATGCAACATTAACTGGTCTAAAAACTCACTTGTGTAACATTTTAGTGTAAAATGTTGTAATAAAGCTATTGTAATGTGCAAAAACTTGCATGAAACCTTATGGGATGCACTGTATATATATAACGATGATGTCATGTGAAAATCAAAAGTTAATTCATGTATTTAAATTTCCCCCAGACAGCAAAGCTATGGCAGTTTGTTTATCTGGAACTATAATATGACAAAAACAGAAGAGAGGATGGAGAAAAAGGCCTTCACAGTTAGCCTAAAAACTAAAGATTAGCTTTCAATTACTGAGCAAATGTAGAGGTACAAAGCCACCTTTTAGGCCTTAGCTTCTTCCTGGTATAATGACCCCCCCCCCAAAAAAAAAAACATCTAAAGCTGCAGGTTTAGCTGTTAAACACAAAAACACAACCGAACACACACACAAACACACACTTGTTCACAGAGCTATACGAGGGTTGCAGAGCATGTTGGCCATGCATGACAACTGAAGCACTTTCTCTCCAAGCGCACATAGAACCCTCGCCAGCAAAAAAAACAGACACACACACATACACACACACACACACACATGCCACTGTCAGGACTGTCTTGTTGGCTCATGAAGCCAAGCTTTCCTATAATAACTATTGAGCTACGATTATAGAGACATACTGTAGATCTGTAAAGAATTATACACTGAAGAAGAATATACTGCCTATGAATGTACGATAAAATGGAATATATGCTGTGTCAAACATGTCTGTTGTCTATTCATTACTACACAACAACACAACATAAATTGTGTGAGCAAGCGTGTCTTGATCAAGGATTAACATACTATTGTATAAATTAGTTCCTTTCTTATAATCATCCATTCATCCAGAAGTTCTTTGAATTGTTTGTGCTCCTAATCTCAGGGAACATGAACTGTGTTGGATCACACATCCTTTTACTTAATTATGAAGGTAGTAGGCATCACCACATCTACCATACTGTAGCTCACAGTATCAATTATATCAAAAGGGCTTTCACCACTCTTCTTCTTTGGGTTTTATGCGAGTTGCGTTAGTGCCATCATCTGTGCCTATTTTCCACTGATAAACGGGGTATTAAGAGAGTGCCCTTTTGTTTGAAAAACAAAGATAAAACAGACAATATAAAGTAAAGAGGTGGAAACCTTACTCCTAAACTATTACCTGTAGCAAGTAATACTTTCTGTAATCATGGAATACTATTTTAACCATTACACACTAATAACAATTCAGTACTTTATTATATAATTTTAATTTACGCACCAATCTTTAGTTGTTACAGGCAGCCCTGGTGAACACATAATTCAACCTGGTCTCTTTTGTAAAAACAGACACCTTTCATATACAGTATGAAGTATCAAAAATGTTACGTGGAACGTCACTCACAACACACACACACACACACAAAGCTAAGGTCCATAACGAAAGAAAGAACACATGGTGTAAAGGGACTGTAAGTAGGAAAGTCAAGACACACACACACACACACACACACACAGGGTACTGTGGCCACATAATAATGTAGCAAGAAGACACAGGAAATGACCAATTTTATTAAAACTTTGTACATCTGTCAGCAGAACGCTGTGTGTGTCTGTGTCTTGACTTTCCAACTTACGGTTCCTTTGCGTCATGCATTCGCTCTCTCCTTTAGGGCAACATTGTTTGGCAACATTTTTTCTGTATGTGGTTCTCTCTTTCTTACAATCTTTCCCTGCACGCAGGCACACACATGCAAGTACGCACGCTCACACAGACACACACATTGCATGTTGCTAATTGATGAAAATAAAGAGTTGTTTATGTTTCAAAAGCATTATGTAAACTGTTTATAACTCTACAAGTTAGACAAGTCTTAGACAAGTGGCATGGACTCCCTTAAATCCTTTTTGTCTACTTATGTAATCACAGACAGGTTCCATGATGTTGAGATTCAGGTTCCTGGGTGTCTATAGATTCTCTAGCTCAACCATCACTTCCAGGAATGTCTGTTCTCCTTTAGCCCTAAAGAGTTTTAGTCCAGATTTAAGTATTTAATAACACTTACTTTCTGCGTAATAAATGTAAGGCCAATCCTATGCACCCCTGACGGTATTTCCCCATTATTATTATTAAGAAACTGACCCTACACGGTTAGACAGAAACACTCTCCAGAAACCGTCAAGCAGGCTGGACTGAGCGACCAACTTCCCACTGTATGTTCAAGAAAACTGGAAAACTACAGATCCAGCCCACAGTATGTCATTTCAGATCTTCCTGCAAAAAAAAAAAAAAAAAAAAAGAATAGATGACCTCCAACGACCTGCAGTTTAGGTTTTCTTTATTGATTCGTCCCTTGTTTTTACGCTTTACTCAATTTTAACTTATGCAAACATTTACTAAATTCAATTACTTCATCTCCTTGTGTCAGTAAAAACAAAAACAAAAAGGATTGAGAAAAGCAGACCTAAGAAGAAATGTCTTGCTATTTTTTTAGGAAGATTAGGGTTGTTTTTGGTTTTCTTTGTACCTTATTTGAACAAAGGCACTTTACTCATGAACCCACACCTGATGTTTTTAACCAGTTTAAACCAAGCCTTTTTACAAAAAAAGAAAAAAAAATCTTTGCATCACTTGTGTGTGTGTGTGTGTGTGTGTGTGTTTGCGAAGGGTTAACAGTGCAGGTTGGTTTGATCTTAATGCCACTCGCTCAGCTCAGAGCCCATGTGAAGGCTGGCTTTAGCCCAGGGCCAGGCCCTCCCAGGCCTTGCTCAAACTCCTAGATCCCTTCAGCATACTTCTCATATTAAAAGAAAACAAGTTACACAAATGAGACAGATGGTTCTTGTTTGTGATGACAGTTGCAATTCTTTCTGTTGTGAGTCCCCCGTCTCCTTTTTTCTTCTTCTTACCTTGAGTAAAGATTAACCTAAAACATTCCTCCATATCGCTATCTATTTATTGGTCTGTCCCTCTGTCTAGTTATCTTTCGCAGCAAAAAAAAAAAGTTGGTTTCCTTCTTTTAGATTAGTAAATAAAGTTGTGTGTCATCCACATAACAATAGATGCTGATATTATCTATTTTAACAATAATATCTTAAGTCTACCACTAGTCTTGTTGTGGTAAATTTTTAAATAAGAGACAGTCATCCCCTGCACACTGTGATCAACAATCAGAGGAGCCAGTTCAGTATCGATCTAGTTAACGGTATCTATCAACCTATCATTACCCACAAGTGATAAATAAATTCATTCAATAATTCAGTAGCTATTTAATCTATTTTTTTAAAATCTTATTTTTTTTGCATAATTTTATAGAAAGTATTACTTGCTTCTTTCAGTAAGTGTAGGTTAGCATATCTCCATTATTGTCCTTATCAATAAGCGCCCCACAATACTATTTCCATCTTCCCAGAACACTTTCATAAATCAGAATCTAGAAACTAAATTCCACATTTCGTCCTCCCACCTTAACCAACTTTTCATGTTTTAAAACATTTTAAAGGTATCGAAGACTACTATGTCTTGAGCTATAGATACAATTAACATTTAAAAGCTGCATCACATGATCAGACAAGAATGGTTATGAAAGATACTTGATACTTGAGGGACATTCAAGAGGAGTAAAAGTAAAACATACACACAGTCACACACAGATGGTCTATCAGGATGTTGATGGGGGCTTCACCCACCAGAGCTTCATCACTTGATGCTGGTATTTACGACCAGTAAGAACCTTCTCAGTCACTCTTTCTCTGTAACAATGAAGTATCTGTCATCAAGAGGATTTCAGCTGACAGTGTGGGGAGGGTTGACAGAGGCTGACTGGGTATGTTACATGTATCTTTTAGCGCATAGCATCCATCCATGTCAAAATAATCTTGATACTGGTCGAAGTTAACATAAAAGGTACTGTATGTCAGCAGTTCCCAAATCTTTTTTGACTGCCCACTCCCCACACCTTTGGGGGAAACAATTCAACAAGTTTTCTTATAAAGAGAGCATGTGTAACCATGGTCAAATGACTAGAACACACGTGACAGAATAACTGAAATGTAACATGTTTCAAAATAATACAACACAAAAATCCCACTCCAACATCACATTTTCATCTTATGCACCCCCTACTGGTAGCTCTCACACCACCAGGCTTAAAGTGTCATATTTTCCATAACTGAGAATGAAAAGCCATCTATCTTTTTAAGTATTACAGTAAACGTACAAGTTACATTAAATTTTGAAATTGTAATCAGATAAAGTGGAAACAGTGGCGTACCTCTACAGTGGAGACATAGACCACTGTCTTGCAAAAGTAAAAGTTTACCTATGCTTGACTAGCACAATGTGTCTAGATGGGTCTTGTTTTCTTATGATTGGTTAAGGCTTGGATTAACTATGGACACTAAAGTATCGCGATAAGGGACCTTGGGGTTCTTGGAAAGGGGGGAAGCTGAAATCGTTGTTAGGGAATGAAGAAGAGGATCATCATCAACACAACTCTTCAATGAGCTTGGAGTATGTTCATGTCACTGAAAAACATTCTCTTGTTATAATTTACAACATGGCTGAGTTAAAAATAAAGTTGGCTTCTACTCCTACCTGCTGCACAGCATTAAGCCCAGGCTGAGCAGGACCATTCCTGCACCTCCGCACCACAGCCAACATCTACATGACAAACCACACTGTGTTGGCACGGGGCTGTACAGCAAAGGCTGTCAGAGGTTGAGTACCTGGCAAGGCTGTAGCTGACTGTGTGTCCAATAGCTTTAGTCCACAGTGATTCACTCACAGACACACAAAGACTGCAGCTGTAAATTGCAGAAAAATCTAAATATTGATTTAGTCTAGAGCTCTCGTAAAGCGCCGAAAACTTCAGCATCACTTTTATCACTTGACCAGTTAATCAGTGCAGGTCATCATTTACAGTAATTGTTGTCTAAAAGTAACTGCAGGAGACACTCTACCATCACCGCTGCTGAGTCATTAAAACCAGACTGGAGTTCCACTGGTGTGCAAATATTTTTAGCCCCTTACGCAAAAATTGGACCAAGGGGGAGGGGGGCTAATTAAATATAATTCAGTGTAGTCTTTACAATTCTACTATATTTGCATTCACGTTTAGCATTAGGACATTAATGCTAGGCTAAAAAATGTGAAGATTTCCCCACCACCAACCTATCACAGCAACTTCCCTCAAATGCCCTCATAAACCCCAGTAAATTCTTGAAGGTTCCCTGAGTTTCCAGAGTCTGTCAGCACCTCCTTGTGTTAAAGAGACACCGACAGCCATTAATTATCACACAGGCTGAACGAAAGGCATTCCATGGTGATGAAATATTAGTATAACCCCCTCCCCAAAGGAAACACAGATTTCCCTGAGCCCTGAACTGACTCTCTGCAGGTGAGGGCTTGGCACACACGTGAAAACAGAAATGACACCTGGCCTCCACTGGTTTTTATCTTTTTTTGACAAATGAATCTCAATGTTTTGTCCTCTCAAGTTGTCCAGTCACTGCTGAGCCTGGGTGATCACCATTTACAAAACACACAGGCAGGTGTAGGGGTTAGAACCACAAGGGCAGACTGTATGGTATAAGAAATGGAGGTACACATATGTAGAGGAGTAATTGTTGCATCAAGTCCTGCTCCACTGGTTTGGAGGTTATGTGATGTCTTTAATAACTAAGCACTACGTTTTTGCAGGGTTTGTACTGTTAATAAATACATTTTTCTGACTACCCTTCAGTCTCAAACACATTTTAGCCTGAGGAGTGCAGCAAATATTAGGATGCATTGAATGCTGACTGCTAGACAATCCAGTAGACCAGTGTCTCTGAATCTTAAGATGCTACTAAATCTACGTTCCAAGTTTCCCATTGGTGTTCTTAAGATCAAGTCACACTTTAACGCTATTAGCATTGGTCTTTCAGTTTTTATTTAATTTCTATACTAATATTTTCTTAACATTTCAGCAGTATATGGTAGGTTAAATTAAGCTGAGAATTAATTTGTTCTCCAACTTCTGAGTAGTATAGCTGTTGCCTTGCACAGAGCAGAAAGTCCTGGGTTTGATTCTCAGAGGAACTCGTCTCCCCAATTGCACTTACAATGGCACTCTCCATTGTGGGGTAGGTCATCCTACGATGTGGAATGTAGGATGACCTGGGACAAGAGACAATTATATTTTGACAGGATTTACCCCGAAAACGTTGTTTGAATGTTCAAACGGCAAAAATAAAGGTTAATTGAAACTGTTTCAGTTGACTGGCACTATGATGTTTGGGTCAATAGCACTCCCTAGCGGCCAAAAACTACAAAGACGTGCAGGGCAGGTCAGGGCTGTAAGCATGAACAGAATGTGTTTTGGTCAACAGTGGATGCCATTCAATCCCCAGGGTCGCCACCTTTTCAGGGTCACCACGGCTAATAAGCGAATTTTAACTGCTGTCATGCATGTTGTAACGCTAATACAGTTTGTCGCAAATAAAACCCAACATTTACAATTTAAGTTTAAACTTTTTATGCATACTTATTGCTTCAGCAATTTTTCTGGATTAGGATAAAAGCTTGATTTGAGTACTTTAAGTACACTATTTTAACTTTCAAATTAACAGATGGCATTTACAAACTTGGCAGTTGTTTTTCCATTTCTGTTTCTATTAGCACAACACACCTTGACAACTTCCAATTCAAACCCATAAATGTTAACAGAGCATGACTGAAGACCGAAACAACCAGATTTAAACCTAAATGAAAAAGTGAGCTTAAAAAAAAAAATTGTGGAAAAAGGTGTGACAATTTAAAGAGACTAGGTCTGAGGAAAGTTTTAATGGAGAAAAGCTTTTATTTTGACTTGAACATCAGTAGAAAAACTTCATTATGGGAACATTTTTTAAAACAAACAAGGCACCCATTAACTGCATCACCATGGTTCTCATGTATAGTCCTGGAAGAGGCCAAAAGGTCACTGACCAAATAACTACAAACACTTGATTATAAATCATAGCTTCATTCACATTGACTGGTTGGTAGAGTTTTTAGAGAATAATGCAGATGGATCCATGCTACAGTTCTCAGTAAGAATTCAAGACTGGATTTTTAAGCACCAAGAACAAGTGTTAGGACAGTAGTGTTAGTAGTGTGAAGAAAATCCAGCTCAAACGCTGACTGATTGTCTGATCAAGTCTGTAGTTTAACTTGTCAGTGACCAAATCTTAGAACATTCATGAAATGTCATGCTGATTTGTTAATGATCAACGTTGAGGGAGAAAAGGGAGAGAGAAAAAAAACTGAGCAGATTCCCATCTCCTCAGCTGTGGTGGGTCCGAGTTCTTTGGGGGCAGAACCTAAACATGAATGAGTCCAGTAAGTATGCTACTTAACAAAATGACCAAAACAGGAAATATACTGTAATTCAGGACAAACCTTAAGACAGCCAGTAAGAAGAAGGCAGGTCTGGATGATGTCAGTTGCAATTCTGACTTGTACAGACCAGGGTGGTGCTTCTCCAAGTCTAATGGATCCAAGACTGGAGTTAGAAAAATATAGAAGCAGAGACATACTATAAATATACCAGAGAAGGACAGACCTGGACACCATCCACATTAGTTGTTCTGCTTGACAAGGTCTAGTTCAACATCTGCCAACAGACAGGAATCCTAGACACACAGGTCAGATCAGTCAGTCAATGAGTAGATTAAAGTGAATACATTTCTCAATATGAAGTACAAACCTGAAGACATCCTGTGGCTGAGAAGCTCTTCTTACAACTAAGGAGTTGATCCACCGGGGTCAGCTCCACTCCACAGTCTATGACACCAGATTTCCACAGCTTGTACAGCTTTTACACAGTTAACAAGATTAAACGTCATTAAATTAAACAGCCCTAAATTGACAAAAAGTTATATACATATAAAGGTGGTCACACTGAAGGTCATGTAAACATTTTAGACCAGAGGTAGATATTATGTACAAACACCAAAGACAGTGATCACGTTATTATACATTGACAGTAAAATTACATGTATAGATTGAAAACTACAAAGTACATTTATATAAATTCATAAAGTTACAATTAAGCAAATTGACATGACTTTTGGACATCCATGTTGATCAATGACGCTGGAATTGAGGTAGTCGCTGTGGACAGCAAACAGCTGGAAAATGATGGCAACGTCCAAAATTGTTGAGAAGGACCTCAGAAGAGACGTCAGACTTCTGGGAAATTACCACAACGTCCAAAATTGTGGAGTAGGACCGCAAACGGAACATCAGAATTGTCGGAAAATGCCCGCAACGTCCAAAATTGTGGAGTAGGACCGCAAACGGAACATCAGAATTGTCGGAAAATGGCCGCAACGTCCGAAATTGTGGAGTAAGACCGCAAAGGGGACGTCAGCCTTCTGTTAAGAGACCACAACGTCGAAAATTGTGGAGTAGGACCGCAAACGCGAAATGGGAATTGTCGAAAATGTCCGCAACGTCCAAAATTGTGGCTGAGTTTAGAGGCCGTTTGTACTACTACATTTAACACATTCAAACACACATGCAACCCGAGGCACGGCGGCCTCTAGCAGCCAGCTAGGGCACAGCAGTGACCACATAGAGGACAACGACACAGTGGGTAGGAAGAAGATAACGGCACAGCAGCCACATAGAGGACAGTGGTACAGCTGCCTGGTAGCAGACAGTGGTGACTAAGAATTTAAAAAAAAAAAAAACATGACGCTCCCTACCATGTTGAAGATCTTCATGATGACCAATCTGAAAAATAAATCCAAGACAGAGTCATGTTAACTACTGAAGTTCTAGTGTGTGCACAACTTTTGTCAAATAGTCACCCTCTCATTAAATAGAGTTTGACTCTCACCTTGTCTTTCAGTTTCAGGAGTCTCCTTTGACTCAGGTGCATTACTCCTGGTCTGTGTTCCCAGAAACCCCATCTGTTCAAACATTGTTGAATACAAGTTTAATATAATGTAGACGTCTTATTAACATCCTATAGAAGATACTGAAGCTGTACTTAAAACACTAAAATGGGATTCAAAGCAGAAACAGTCTAAAAACCACACTTCGACGGTTTTTAGTTTTTAATTAGTTTCAGCAGGCAAATACGTTTTAAAACAAGTTTTCTTCCACTTCAACTGAAGTCAAATATATTTTGGTCAAATTATGGTCAAATCGCTAAAAGCAAAAAAACAAACAAACAACCAAAACACACTTACTTCTCGCCATCTCCGCTTTACGTCCGCCTAGCTCGAGCCACAAATTAGGAATAACTTCAAACACCTGAGGCTTTTAAAGCAAGAGGCGGACTTTTTCAGCGTCTGACGTCACGTGCCACGTGCGTTTGATGGTTTTCTACATGGCCTGTCACTCGCTAAGCTGTGTTACTGCCATTTTAGCATGCATCTTGGACAGCCGAAAACGGCAACTCCACTCCGACAGACTTCAGAGTGAAGTTAACGGCTGTCAGGATAGAAGAGCAACTGACTGTACAAACACACACACATACGTATATATTATACTATATAATCATTATATTCTGGTTAGAAAATATTCTATTATATATTTATCTATATGTATATCTATCATTAATCTGTCAGAGAGATGATAGACTGGTCACACATTATGCAAATGTATTTAATGTGTGTTATTGAAAAGGGCACTATCTTAGTTGAGAGAACAAAGGGTCAGGTGCTACAGCACCACCCCGTGTCTATCTGTGGACATCACTGACTGCTATATATGTATATTTTAATATTGATCCCATCCATCCATCCATTTTCATCTGCTTATTCATTATTATCCATTACCCAAATCACACTGCCCCGTACCAACCCCCTGAACCTACCTGTCCACTGAAAGGTACCAACCGCCCTAACCGGGATTCGATCTTGCCCAGGAGGTGAACCCAGGGATTGCACACCAATGACAAAGACATGACACAAACATAATGACTGGGCAAAAGCGCCACAATATTAAGCCCTTAAATCCCTAAAATAACTTAAAGGAAATGGGACAATTGGATGTTATTGTTATTATTTTATTTCCATTGTATTAAAATATAATATTTTTATCCAAATCCAAACATTTTTATAGCCCCTGCTAGTAATTTTTTTATATTTTGTAAACATTTTCTCTTAAAACAGCTCTGGCATCTTGCTCTTTTTAAAATCAAGATAAAACTGAGATTTGGTTTTATGGTCATCAGTTAAATGTATGTTGTAATGTAAAGGAGGTTATTTGTAGAATATCACTTCAAATGGTGGCCTCACAAAAATATATTTTGGCCTCTGAAACACAAGACTTTAGTTCATTGTTTGT